TCCCGCCGGTTTTTTTTCCCCCCCCCCCCCCCCCTTTTTTTTTTTTCTTTTCCACCATTGTCCCCGGGGGGGGGTGGGGAAGGAAACAATTTCCGGGGGGCCGGGGGGCATATTTGGGGTTACATTTTTTCCGGGGTTTGTTCCTTTTTTGAAAGTTTTTTTTCCCAAAAATTTTGGGCAAAAACCCAGTTGGAACAAGCCCCCGGCCGGGGGGGGGGGGGGGGTACCCGTGCCCGTGTGTGCCCAGCGTGATTTTCTCGAGGGCTTCGTTTCCTTTTACAAACCCGGGGGGTTGCATGTGACTTCATTTTTTCGCCGTTGGGGCAGGCTTTGTGAAGTTTTGGGGGGGGGGGGGGCGTGAGTGAGACGAGCTGTTGTTGGGTGTGTCGAAGGGAAGCCTGGTTTCTCGAGTGTTCATGCAAGGGCATCATACGGCAACACGGTCGCCTGGGCATGTGTGCGGCGTGGTTTTACCTCTGTGGGCGGGTACTATTATGGTGTTGCACTTTCACAAATCACGAATGAATCAAGTCTTGCCAAAGTGTGGGACGCGCGTGCGTGTAGCATGGTTTTGACGCGCCAAGTGAGGGCACACGTGTACTGTCTATTAGAGCTAGCTGCCACGCAGAGAGAAGGAAAGATGCAACTTGGGGTGCCTGCGTTTTGTGGCATGTACGGGTGCAGAAGGTAAGATAGGCAATCGGGACGTAGATATAGGTGGCCAGCTTTCAGTTTTGCTCGGTTCATTGTGAGTTTCGCGTGGGCGTGCGCACCACTGCTACTTTCTTTGTGTGTGTCTACATACCTACGTAGTTGTGCACACAGCGGTGATGCAGCATGTAGGATCCGACAGCCCACCCAGACAGCTTTGTACGAGAGGTGGTGTTTGTTTGTGTCGTTATGTTTCGAGGGCGATCAACCTCTCTCATGGAAACTGCTTGTCTGTTGTCTAGTCGCGTGGTGATGGTTGTGGACTCGCTGGGACAACAAGTTTTGACCCTCGACGATCGTTTTGGGTTTATACAGCTGCATGAAATTGTGAAATTGTGTGGAAATTATCGCGCGCCTCTCAGCGGATTTGTGGATGCAGGAAGGGGTGGTGTTCGTAGACTTCAGCTGTATATGCCCCATAGCGAAAACTGTCATGGTGTGGGGGGGGGTTCGGAAAGATTTTGTGCATCATCATTATTACCTGCGGTGAGAGGAGGACTTGTCATCATGCGAGCTTGATGGGGAGCAAGCATTCTCGTACATGGACACATCGGAGACAACAGAAGTCTCTACATATCCTTCAAAGAAGAGCACTTGTTTGGCACAACTTGTATGCCCGCTATGCCCAACTTCGGTGACTTATTATGTGGTCCGGGATCCCGAATGAGAACGTCGAAGTTTCACTTCGTTTCTCCACTTTCCGCTCTCCACTCTCCACGTTTACTTGTTTGGACGCAATATCTATCAGGCTACCACGCATGATAACACTAACCTTTTCGCCACGAATGTGCAAGCACGTGCTGCCTACGCCAGAAGTGCGCGAGCGTGTGCGATTATGCGCGCTGATTCTCTACACACGGAACCGGCTCGCCGTCTTCCTTGTCTCCTCCGAGAAAAGTCTTAGGTATGTAGTTGACTCAGGGTCCACTGGCAACAACCGCATCATCAGCCGATCGATTTGATCGATTCAGGAACACACCTCTGCACCTGCATGTATGTCTATGCACATGCGCACTACGTGTATACATATACATGCAGCACCTTGGCAGCACGGGCAATCCATTCAAAGATCGAGCGAGCGTTAGATTTCGTCAGTCGCCTCGCAGCGAAAATTACGGCGAACCGCAACTACTGCTTAATTAACATGTGCGCCGCACATACAGCAGTTTCAGACAGGGCAACGCCGACGATACTCGTCGCGCGTTGATTTACCACAGCACTACAGTACCATCTGTACCCACGTCGACTTTCTTGGTCTCAAGAGCTCCAAAGAGAGTTATCGCGAAGGTGCCCAAGATACAAGTCGAACCGGCAATTTAGTGGGTGCGTACTGACCACTTGCAACAGGACCCGCCGCACCAAAAAAATGCTCTGGGCGGAGGGGGGGTGGTGGATCCAAAATAATAAATTAACTTAAAAGACCGGTTCGACGAATTGACGAAACGAGGCACCCATCTACGCAGGTTTTCTATGTAAGTAAACATACAGTACTGGATAAAGTATGGAATCGGCAAAGTTTGGGAGTCTGCGCAGGATTTTCCAAGTAAGCAAACATACTGGATAAAGTATAAAATCGGCTAAGTTTTTTACACAACAAATCCAACTCTATCATAGAAAAGATACCAAACTGCCTTGTTGAGTCTGTTAACAGCAGGGGAGATGTCCCTATATGCTGTCTGGGAAATCGTAGACATACAGGTATTTCTGACGCTATGAATTCATTGCTAATCTGTCTCAGACTCTTTTCTATGATAGAGATGGATTCGTTGTGTCATACTAAGAAAAAAAAAAAAAGAGTCTGAGACAGATTAGCATAGCGTCGTTTTGTGCGAGGGATCGGGCGTGCAGATCTCCTCTACAGCGGGGCAACAAAACGAAATTGGCGTTATTTGCGAGCAGAGCATTCTCCAACTCAGACACGAGTACTCGCAGCAACAATCTCTTTGTCCTCCCTTGGCACACAACAGCGTGCTAGTAGCCTCATCAACTGCTGCCTGCCGTGGAGCAACAGTGAGATAGATTCGTGAGCTGGACCAAGAAAGAGAGATAGGGGGGCAGAGCGGTCGGGGGTAGGGAGCAAAGTCAAACATGACCCGAAGGACAACAAGGAGCGCTCTGCTGGCGCTGAGCACCGTCAGCCTGGCCGCCTCTGGCCAAGGCTTCTTCGCAGGCACGACGGGAACCCCAGCATTTGTCGCCACTAGTGGTAGTCGGTTCTTCTCCGTCAACGGTGGGCGCCCGGTATCTTCACGTGAGTTCATTCGTCGTTGTATTTGCTGTTCGTGCGGAACGTCCGTGTATGCTGCTGCTGACAGTACAGGTGGATCGAGCTGACCAGGTTGAACATCATGCCCTTCCTCCCGATGAACGTGTCGTTTCGAGCGCCGCGCTGCTAACTCACTGGCGTCGAGTAGCGGTGCTTCAGTGCTGGCAGATGCGGGGCAAGCCGAACGCCTGGTTGGAATATGCGAAAACGTGCTCAAGCACCAAGCACAACTAAACACATCATTCATTGAACGGCCCCATATATCGCCCAATGTGCTTCGTGCGATTTGCCGCTTTCATGAGCGATTTCAGCCGCATTCTTACGAACGGCGTGCTGCTTTATGTGTGGCACGGCCATCTCCCGTTCGTGGTGGTTGTGCTTGCAGTATAATGTCCCACGTGCGACAGAACTATTGCAAGCTTTTCTGTGCAGTTGCCCTTGGTGCCCAGGAGCGAACGAGCGGTACCGCCGCAGCATTTCTCTTTTGTGCTAGAAAATCAGACAACAGCCAGGGCGGGATGAACTGCTGTCGAAGGTTTTAATCAGCGTTCGACCTACAGCATCAGTAAGGCAGAGAGCAGAGCAAACCCAGCACGTCCATCGTATGCCAACATCTTGTCTACTGGGTGTATGCATTCCCAGTCAATCTTTCGTTGCTACACCCATGCAGTCTCCATGCAACACGAGTTCGAGGTTGCATCATGTACGTCTGTCTACCATAACCTGCACCCACAGACGTGCACAGAACAAGTAATACTGTAGTCTCCCCGCCTATGCAGCACTTTTTCGAATGATGTTCAAGCACAACAGTTGGGCTCTGGGTACTGCGTTTTCGCTCTTTTCACTGTGACTGACACCTCTTTGTGTCCCTGACTGGAAGTCTCAGCCTCGTGAGAAGGCTGTTGGCTTGGCTTGTGCGGTGCCGACCCTCCTCTGAGACGTGACACGAGAAACGCCTCATTTTTCTGCGGTACTGTAGGAGGCTCGGCAACTCTTCGCGGTCGTGTCAAGGATGGCATTTCCTTCCCAATACGACGTTTAGGAAGCACCACCCCTGAGACTGCGGCGTCGTACTGCTGAGCCTCCTCTGACATTTAGGAAATGCCACCCCAAACTGCCGCGAAGAGTTGCTGTGCCCCCTCGTTTAGGAAGTGCCACCCTTGACACTGCCGCGAAGAGTTGCGGAGTCCCCTCCCGCCGTGGGAAGGCGTTTCTCGTGTCGCGTCGGAGAGGGCCGGCACCTCACCAGCCACTGTTTCTTTCGTGCTTTCCATTTTCGAAGAGAGGGAGGGGGGGTCGATGAAAAGAGATGCCCAGACCCAGTAAATATTCTTGTGCTTCGAGTCGGCCGGCACTACTGGCAGGTTCAAGCCACTCGAATTCTTGCGTAATTCATCCCTTTCCCAAACATCGAAACGAAGGCACCGAGTCTCCGAACCTCTTTGCCACCCCCCGCGCCGAATGGCCATCGGTGATTGGTCCTGTGGGAGCAACGCCCCGTCCTCTCGAGGACGCGTGGTCAAAGTTCTAACCGCCAAGGCATGTAAAACATATGAATATATATACGCCCCCCCCCCCCCCCCGCTCTCTGACTTTTCAGGGAGGGCTCGTGCGGCGTACCAGCGGCATTGGCCTTCCACCGCGGGGTCCCCGCTGTCCATGGTGGTAGCCCCTCACGAAGTCGTAGACGCCGCGGTCGCCGCGCACCACGCGGTGTCGGCTCTCCCTTCATTCCTTCTCTCCGACGAAGCGGTCGCGGAGGCTGCGGGCAGCGTGGGGTACTCCAAGTTCAGCTACTACACGACGCTGGGGCTGTACGTGCTGTCCTTCCCTGGCCTGTGGTCCGTCGTGAAGCGGGCGACGAAGACGAAGTGAGTGTGCTTGAACTTCTCTTGACGTGAGCGTGTGCTGGAACTTACGGATCTCTCTTGCCCATCCCTGTGCGGCGTACAAGCCAGTGGGTCGGCGCACAGAGGGAGAGGGGGTTTCCTTGCGAGTCAAAAATGCTGCGTTTTGCGTTGCAACTCGGTGAGTATCGGAGTCTCTTTCCCTATACGGGCGAACGCACGAGAATCACGAGCTTCACCACTTCTTCACTGCCTACGTCGTTCGCAACGCTAGCGAGTTGGACATCCCTTTCTAGACCAAAGGGGTGACGTCGGCGATGGAGCATTTTTCAACCCCTGTCCCCGGCTTCACGCCCGCTGCTGGACTCTTGTGTGGGAATCAAAAGCTACGTAGAACGGTATGCTCCCCCCCTCCAATCCCCTCCCTCCTGACCCTTTCATGAAATGATCATCGACGCGACTACATATATAGCAAACAACGAGACGTTTTCTTCCTCCCCCCTCTCTCTTCTCCGTCCTCTCGAGGACGCGTGGTCAATGGTCTACCCGCAAAGGCACGCAAAACATGAGTACCCCCCCCCCCCGCGCGCGCGCTCTCTTCTGTCTGCCTCTACAGATACAAAGACGCGACGTACGAGCTTCCCGGGCCGGCGTCGACGGAGAAGGGGGCGGAGTCGGTGAAGCAGACGGCCGCAAAGATCATCGCGTACTTCCAAGCCAACAACTACAAGATCAAGGAAGCGGGCGAGACCATCACGTGAGTAGAGAGAGCAGGCAACAACAACAACTGTGCAGACTTCAACACATTCCCCTCGACTGCTGTGGTATCATCCAGAACGGGTCGTCTTTCTTTGGTTGTATGTATATTTTTTAAACAACCAAGGTTTGTTGTTTTCCCTGCCTCGCTCCCAGGGGGGGGTAACGCACACCATGTTTCAACAGACCTCAGACTTTCATTGAACGTCATGTCACCTGCTCTGGGTCGCGCCGAACACCTCTGCCGTGTGGCCAGAGCGGCACCAAGTTTTCCGGCGCTTGTTGTCGCCTCTTCTCTTGGAACACCTCGGCGCACAGAAATGCACGTAACCACCCTCGGTGGGCACCTTGCGAAACTGTGATACCCAAATAGTACGCCGGCGTTAACCGCGCGGCCTTGTTGCTATTGTCGACCGTACACTCTGGATAGAGTACTCCGTGAGAATACTCCATTCAAGCCGTTTTTATTTTCCGAGAAAAGCACAGCAGTAACAGGCCGCGGCGGCAGGGTGCGCCGAACGACCGTGCTTCGTGCGGCCGGGTCAGAGCGCCCGGTACTGCAAGGCACACAAGCCCCCGCGGGGACGGTGTCGTTACAAAAGAGGCAGGCCAGGCTTTTATCGTCGTTCAGCAAGAGTTCGTTCATCTTGTTTACGTCGCAGACCCGACTGTAGAAAACGGCACGAGCCCCTCCACTCTCCGAGGAAAAAAATTAAAATCGTCCAATGTGGAAACCAGGATATAGGTATCTTCCTAGTGGCAGTGGACATACCGAGACCCACGAACGACGTTCCCGAGGTCTAAAGATGTTTGCGAGAGGAGACCCTCCGTTGGCTGTGATCAGCCGGAAGGTGAAAGCGGGCCCTGAGGCTCACTCTCATCTTTCAACCTAGCAAGGCCGACTAACGTCAGCCACGCTTGGCAATTCCTCGCTACTCTGCAACAAGAGCGAAATACCTCCGCGAGTGAACGGATATTCACCGCTTCAGGGACCTTTCCTTGGTAACAGGGGGTATTCTCATTGGCGTTCGACGAAAGTCTGTTCGCGCAGACAACAATGCCTGGTGTGACGAAGAAAAGCCCGAAATAGAAGGAGGCTAAATCTCCGCCTGAGTCTTTTGATGAGGGCGGTTGCACCCCGGCTCTCAAGTCAGGGCCAGAAAAAGAAGGCCAAAAAGAAAAAAGCGGAATCAGGCGGCTGAAGCTGCTAAAAAAGGACGGGAAAAGTATTTTTGCTCGTGCGACCGGTCTCGATTTTTTTAGGTGACCCTCGAAATGTGGCTTCCGTGTTCTAAGGCTTCTTCGAGGGCATTGAGCCTAGCCGTCAACATGTCGTTCTGGATGGAGAGCTGAGCGATCACGGGGTCCGGGACACATGTTCCCAGCGCTAGCTGGAGCACAAAAAGCTGGGCGGGTCAGTTTTCGTCTGACCGCGTGGTCGAGCGCGCCCATGATAAACTATTCGAGGGCACTACCTGGAGGCATGCGGCTACCTCCAAAGCCTCGCCTGTGCGCGCCTCCAGCATGTCTCCTGCGACGCCGCGTGAGCCAGGCTCGCTGAGTTGGCCCTCCTCGTCGCTGCCGTCGTTGCTGTCATTGATTGTTGTTGTCGTCGTGGCTGTGGGAGGCTGAATCGTGTTCGGATTCGTCCTCGTTATAGCCGCCTCCGCTCTTTTCAGAACTGAGGCGTAGGTCAGCACCTCTGCTGCCTCTGCTTGTTCAGCAGGTTGGGCCGACGAGTCAGTAGCAGCTTCAGTTGCCTGATTCCGCTTTTTCTTTTTGGCCTTCTTTTTCTGGCCCTGACTTGAGAGCCGGGGTGCAACCGCCCTCATCAAAAGACTCAGGCGGAGATTTAGCCTCCTTCTCTTTCAGGCTTTTCTTCGTCACACCAGGCATTGTTGTCTGCGCGAACAGACTTTCGTCGAACGCCAATGAGAATACCCCCTGTTACCAAGGAAAGGTCCCTGAAGCGGTGAATATCCGTTCACTCGCGGAGGTATTTCGCTCTTGTTGCAATGTGGCGAGGAATTGCCAAGCGTGGCTGACGTTAGTCGGCCTTGCTAGGTTGAAAGATGAGAGTGAGCCTCAGGGCCCGCTTCCACCCTCCGGCTGATCACAGCAGACGGAGGGTCTTTTCTTTGCAAACATCTTCAGACCTCGGGAAGGTCGTTCGTAGGGTGTCAGATCAGTAGGAAGATACCTGTATCCTGGTTTCCACATTTCTCACCAACAAGAGTTCGTTGGTCTTGTTTACGTCGTAGGCCCGACTGCAGCAACGGCACACGCGGCCCCAATTTTACGGTCGGCGCGACGTCGTACCCAAGATCAACGAAACTCTTCCTCGAACGATACGCCCATTGTTGCCGTGTCGTTCTTAGATATTGGCAGCTGTCGTAATAGTAGCGGTAGAGCTGCCCACCATGGGGTGTAGTGTTTGTAGTCCTCGCGGTGAAGGTTCAGAGGAGACCGGCTGTAAGAGAACTTTCGAGAACAACCCCAAAGATGAACGATGAAGTTGTGCGTTTGTTTGTTTCATTACCGCGCAGAATGTACACAGATGATTGTGTGACTTGTCATTCTGCTTCGGCAAGCACACATTAAAAGCATCAAGGTAAGGTGTTAAGAAATGTGTGCATACGTCGCTAGTGTATCCCTGTTTTTTCTGTATTTTTCCCACCACGGGAATCGACCGCGTCAAGTGTCAGATTAGTACGGATAGATGAAGGTACTGGATAGAGAGATCGGAACGGTTTTTAATGTGAAGACAACAGCAACAACACTTTTTTGCGTTTTTCTCAGGTTCGAGGGGGCCATCCAGGCGAGCAAGGGCCAGGCGTTCTTCCTGGTGTTCTGCACGGCCCTGTCGTTCGCGACGCTGGCGCTCGTGCTGCAGATCCAGTTCCCCGCCATCGGCAACTACTGGTTCTTGCTCACGCTCTTGTCTCCCTACGCGTGAGTCCTTCCTCTCCCTTTCCTTGTGGGTCCGCATGCGCACCACCCTCCTGTCTCACCCCCGAATGATTTTCTTCATGGCTGGGGTGTCGCCTGAGGTACTTTGGAGTCGACCCTCGGCGTGTGTGTGTGTGGGCGCGTAGTCGTGAGCGGTGGGGCGGCTAATGCACGAGGTGGAGTTGGGGTGTGCCGAAAGAGGCGGCGGAGAGATGGCACCCCCCATAGAGCGATCGTCAAAGCTCCATTGTTCGACAACCAACCTTGTGCCAAAGTTATTAATGGTCATTTTGGAAACGTCCCATCGAGGGTTTCTGTAGAATTGTCGGGCTATTTCAGGACCCACTTGGTTGTGGAGCAATCGAGCTTTGGAACTCGGTCTAGGGGGGCTGACATCTCTCCACCTCTTGCAACGGTACTCGGGGAAGAGGAACTATTTTCCCTGCGGAAAAATTGGCCATCACGCCGATTTCTACCGGCTGACGTGTTCGGCGTCCCGCCCATGATCGACGGTGGAAATAATTAAATCGCTTGCGATGCCACTCCTCAGTGCAAGATTGGTCTTCCTTAAGTCAACACCCCTTCTCCTGACCAAGAGCGGTGTTTGGTGTGCCCGTTAACACCAACAGACCGAATTTTCCCGCTGGTTTGTTTGGTTGAGTTGTTTTTTGCTTGTTTCCTCCTTCCTTCCTCTCTCGGCGACACTTTTTGCAGAGGCGTTTACTACTGGCAGAACGGCTCGCGGAACGATAAGGCGCAGGTGCGGCTGGAGACCTCAGACGACGACACTTTGACGGAGATTTACATTACGGGGGTGAGAGCGAGAAACGTGTCCTGCTGCGTGCGCGGCTGTGGTCCTGGGCGTCATATTATTTTCTTCACTTCCAATGTTTTTTTTATGAAAACGAGAACGGCTGTCCCTTGGTGGAAGAGCAGGAGGTGCATGCGGCGGTGCACGCCTGGCCTGGTCACCGCTGCGGCGTGCTGTTGCTGCGTGAGTGCTGTCGTGACACGATGACATTCCGTGTGGTGGCAGTCGCGGGAACAACAATCAAGCTTGCTCTTTGCCACACCGCAGTGCGAAGGGTACACTGCTTTTTCGCACGTAGCGTGTCGCGATTTACTTCACCGTAACCTGAGAACCGCCCTAGGGGGGGGGTCCTGTAGAGAACCGACGGACTCTACATGCGATATCAGTGGTGGAGGTACAGGTGACCCCGCGAGAAAAGTAATAGCAGCGGGCGTCGGTGGTACTCACCCGATGAATTTCGAAGGGTCGAGCTCGAAGACAAGATGCAGCGGTCTGAAGTTGTCTGCAACTCCCTTCCATCTTCGCCGGATGAAGAACGTACGCGTTTTGCTCAGCGAACGTACGGCTTCCGGTCATCGCGAGAGAGACTTCCAGTGCGGAGCCGGCAAGAAACCGCCGAGGTGTAGCCCTCTTTTTGTCAACGTTTGAATGCGTCCCACTTTAAACTTGCGGAAATTCTGCTGTACCGACACAATTCTCCCCAACTCCCGATCATTTTCGTGAAAATCCCTTGAAGGCGGCGGAGGAGTTGGACCGCTTGTCCAAGACCATGGGGTACATGGAGAAGGGCATGATCAGAGTCAAGGGGTTGCTCGAGGGGGAAGCTCCCGCGGCGCCTGTGGTGCCGGCAGTGCCAGCTCCCGCGGCGCCTGTAGAAGAACCAGCAGAGACTGAGGCTTAGGTTTTGGTTTACCGTTTGGATAGTAGCGCGTATAACATTTTTTTTTTGTGCGTGTGTTTGGGGCCACTGGCTGTGTGTCTTCGCCCGGGAAACTTCCAACTAGGGGCGGGGGTGGAAGTTTCTTGGCGGTTGGCTTGGAGCGGATGGTCGTTTGGGTAGTGTGTCAACAAAGGTCTGATTGCCGCCCGTACTACAGATGGAGGCCGCGAGGTAGTATTAGCAATCTTAACGGCGCAACGTAGATGTGCTCATATGGAGGCGGTGATGCGGTGATAGATGTTTCGCAGGAGTGGTGCAGAACGGCAAAACTGAACTCGAGCAATTTTCAGCAACTGCATCACTGACAATTTCTTGCGCGCGCAAACGTGGAGCGGAATCCGCGCGCAAACGTATTAGCAGACACATGTCCATCGGCTGGTTCATGATGGAGGCTCTCGGAGATCGCGCTGTTTGGAAACGCTTCGCTAAACCACTCAAAAAAATCCCCGCATAAATTACGGTGGACATAACGATAGGGTTAGGTCTTCAACGGCATTCGTGTGCCATCGTGTCCTATGCACGGCAGGGAATTGCCATCGGCAACACAACACCGGCTTGAAATCCCGTGTTGTACTGCCTGTTCTCTAACATTTCGAGGTGGCTGTCGACGTTGGGTACACAAGCAAAGCCGACCGTACAAGAGTACAGCCTGCTGCCTGTGCGAATGGATGGCGTTAGAACAACTGTCTCACGTAAGCAGGGATTTCCCCCTGTCTAACAAAGTACGCGTGTTCATCAAGAGATTCGCATAACGACACTCAGGAGGCGAACCTATTCACTCTGGGGCACGCTCTAAGCAACCACCAACACACATCAACAGTCAGTCTTCTTGTGGAGCGCGTCTGTATCCACATCAACACACCATCGTCTCCCCCCCTGCCCCCCGTCGAACACAGCGCAGAGGGAACAACACGGGCAGGGACGCCACACGACCAAATAACGAACACGCCGAGCCTCCCCGTGAATTCACCCCGGCCAGCACAGAGCTGCCGTGTACCATTTACAACCGATGGTATATTCCTACACACACCGCGTGGTCACGAGTCCCCTTCTCCCATGTCCACTACGATTTTCGGCTGGCCCTTTCTGGCGGCTACTCGTTCCTTGAACATCCCGAGCGCCTCCTCCCAAACCGACTGATGGTTGTTGGTCGCCCGTCCTTTGATGGCGGCGACATCAATCTCCGGTCCGCCTTTCAGCAGAGATTTCCACCACACTGCTGCGTTAGGAACGGGGCAGTGCTTCCTCAGGACTATTTCAACCCCTCGCCTATCGCCATTGCTGCTGCTGCTAGCTTCTCTTGCCCCTGCTGCTGCTGCTGCTGCTGCTGCTGGTGCACTACCACCAGCACCACCGCTACTATCAGGATCATCTCTTGCCACAGCCGTACCCGGGTAGTCTTTCAGCTCCCATTCCACCTCGCCCTCGTCTTCCGCTCCCAGTTTTGCCTGAAACGCAAGCTCTCCTTCCAAAACAGGCACCAGTTCCGTACCACCCCCCGGCGCCGTAGCAGCAGTCCCCGCTTCTCTGCTAGCAGCGCCATCTCTGCCCCTCGTTGCCTTGACAGCCACCCTGATGAGGTCAGCAACCCCCTCTGCGATTGTCTCCGGTTTCGCCCTCAGTGACACCTCCACGTCTCCCGCGCGAGTCCCCGCGGGCACCGGGACGACGACCACGACCTCTGCTCTCGCTTGCCGCCAAACGTACTGCAGGGCTTGTCGGCCACCGTTGGCATCGCCGCGCACGGCCGCCCCGTTCTCCGTGAGCCGCTCGTCGCTCATGGGCGGTTTGACCTTAGGCCTAGGCGCGGTGCCTGTTGCTGCTGCCGCCACCGCTCCCGTAGATCCATCTGCTGGAGCCGCGACACCGGACGAGGATGGGGTGGTGTCGCAATGAGCACCGCTGTCGTCGCTGGCGCCATCCCAACCTTCGGCGGCCTGCGACGCAGACGTGCCGCCGAAGGTGACCGACTGAGGCTGGTCGAAAGTAGTCACCTCCGGATTGTTACCGTTGTCTTCGTCGCTGTCGCTCATCTCGCTCGCCATCTTGTCCCACTTAGAGTAGTCTACACCGCTCATGTTTTTGATTCGTGGGAGGCTCAATGTGCTACGCGTGGAGCTGGGCAAAGCAGCAGCGAGTGGAAAACCCAAGGCAACTGAGGCAAACTGCCCTGGGGGCGACGTAAAACGGACGAGGGCAGGCGCTCGAACCAAACCGGAGAACCGAACCAAGTTCAGAAGAAGATAAGGTTCTGAGTTCTGAGTTGTTGAGTTGAGATATTGAGATCTGTGAGTCCTGTCGTCCTGTCATTCCGTTAGCTCTATGCATAATCCTGGGTAAGACTCTGCTAGCGTTCCAGGTAGATAGGCCGCAGGCCTAATGTAGAGCAACCTGCGGTTGCCGAGATCTGTAAGTCCTGTCGTCCTGTCATTCCGTTAGCTCTATGCATAATCCTGGGTAAGACTCTGCCAGCGTTCCAGATAGATAGGCCGCAGGCCTAATGTAGAGCAACCTGCGGTTGCCGCAACGCCACGCCGAAGGCGTGTTGCGGCACTTGAGCCCCCGCAGCCCCCCCCCAGGAGGGGCGGCCGGAGGCGATTGATTGTTGACGATTCCATTAGCTCTATGCATAATCCTGGGTAAGACTCTCTGCCAGCGTTCCAGATAGATAGGCCGCAGGCCTAATGTAGAGCAACCTGCGGTTGCCGCAACGCCACGCCGAAGGCGTGTTGCGGCACTTGAGCCCCCGCAGCCCCCCCCCAGGGGGGGCGGCCGGAGGCGATTGATTGTTGACATTCTTTGGACGTTTTCTTGCAAAAAATCATTCGAAAACAGCATACATACATAGTAAAAGTGTCGAACATTTAAGATTTTTCACCTGTTTTGCGACAGAATCTGTCTCGTTTCCCAGCGACAAGAGACAATATAGTTTTTTTCTCACCTTTGGCCAGAGAAAATGCGTTAAAACGCGGAGTAAAAATAGTGCCGCGCATTTATTTTGGCCTTCGGGGAAAAAGTTTGCGCTCTCAGAATCTCTGTGTGTTGCGGGAATCGCATTTATTTCGTGACTAAAATGTAGCAGTGCCACACCGCCGCAAAACCTATCTATCTGGAACACTGCATTATGTGGAGATGCGGAGATGTAGAGGATCACTGGTGAAACGAGGCAGCACGACTGCGCACCGATGCCAATGAGAAGAAGGTCGTACTACTACTGCTGCTGTATCTGCAGCGTCCGGACGACATACGTACGTGTGAAAACTATTCAATACAGAGAGAGGTGCCCGAACAAAGAAAGAAAAAAGTAAGGCATTTCACAAACTCTTTGGGCATTTCCCGCTGAACACACTACCACCCAATAACCATGTCGAACAGAGAACGGACGGGTCCGAATTTTCGCACGCCCACGGTAACTTTGCTCACATGCGATAGCTTCCTCCGTAAACTACCGGAAATATCAGAACTATACCTGGTACAAGACAAGAGACTATAATAACGCGAAATCCATACCTACCTACAGGCGAGCGTTACAGCACGACCCTTAATGTTCCAGCCGGAAAAGTAGCGTCGATCGTCCAACCTCCACGTTGAAACACACCCAAAGCATGTCCATCACCTCAACGCCGGATACTCGGCATTCACGAACGTTCGCCGATCACCAACCCGATCCCATTCAGGGTGGCCCCCTCCAATTCAAACCTGGTGCAAAAATGCACGGAAATAAAGAAAAGCACGGATGAAGGACACCGCCTCGAATATTTTCACAGCATGAACGTCGTTTCGTGGTCTACGCTCGTTGGACGAGTTTGGTGCTGCTTTGTTCCTCTGCACATGGGCCCTCCTTCTTGCTTCAATCCTTGGAACCTGTGGCACACAGAGCGGACATACACATACCCCATCTCGCCGTCCTGCTTGCATTCGCTGCTGTAGTGAGCATAAGGACAACGCCATTGAGACTAGACATAAGCTGCTGTGAGGAAGCAACCTCAAGACTCCCAATGCCATTCCATGCACTCCTCAACGTCATACGCAGTGCCATCAGCATCAATTTTTTCCCGCCTACCCTAACCGAACAGAGCAATAAGCGACAACTCTGACGAGGACACATAGGTCAAAACAACAAGACACGAGTGAAAACAAACGATTTCCCGGTTTTACGTACGTACAGCGCTTGGATCTACACGCCCAGCAAAAGAAAATGATTCATATTTCGCCCTTTGACTCCCTTCTTCAATGGCGCCGCCGACCAAGAACTGATCCCAAAAGGTGCAAGCGATCAATTGCAACCGAGGGATCTTCTAGAAAACGCGCCCAGCCCTCCTGCGTTTGAATCCTTATCCTTTCTTCGCAACAACTCCTACAACAATATCTACGCCTGACCGATGACTCTGGTCAGGTTTATCAGCTGTACAATGGAAGATAATCAAAAAATGTTTCGACCGTCCCGTGACAAAATCATGGCCTGCATCGCGCGGAAGTTCGCGGCAACCCTTCACCATCCCCATTCTCCACCCGGGGGCACGGCCGAGCACCGCCCGAGCAAACGAACGCTGCTCTAGCTAACGGACGCAGGACAACGCCTTGTACTGTAGCATTGCCCAAATATGGTACCCATCCCCCCCTCTCGTTCCTGCCTGCGAATGCCACACCGTCAACGACGTGGTCCTGTCTGGCACGACGTGTGTAGTTGACCCTGTTACGTTAGTTTCAACGCCGACCCGATTCCAGGGGTGGCCGTAGCAAGCCCACTCCCGTTCGGCTCCTCACCCACCCCTACTCCTGACGCCCTCCTGCCGCGGCCGGAACCGAATCAACTCCCCCCTTCCATGGCCTCCACCTCTGCCTCAAGCACGTCCATGGTGGCCATGAGCGTCGGGAGGGCCATGTCGTTGACTCGGCGACAGAGCTGCTCGGTTTCGTGCGCCGACCAGCCGCCGACGCCGGTGAGCGCCACCACCTCCGCCCCGCCCACCACCTAATTTGTTTTTGGTGTTGTTTGTTCCCGAAGGCGGGAGGACCACCACCACCAACAGCAAACGGCATAGAAACAGGTGAGGGTCAGAGAGTAGCCACCTTTGTTGGAGAGGTTGTTGTTGGGGCAGAAGATGCACAGAAGATATACAGAAGAAAGTCCTTGAAGCGCAGAGAGTACCCTCCGTTCCTGTGTATGTGATTCTGCATCACCACGCAAACCCCGAGAGCACCAACGACAACAACAGAGCAGGAGAGCTGACACATGGCGCCGGATGAGCAGCAAGCCATGCGAAAGGGGCCGTGGATACAACCACCAAAACGAACAAAGTGCTGAAACGTCACCACCACGGCCTGCGCATGAGGTTCATTGTATTGACAATGGTGTAGAGCATGTTAGATAATTCAGTCAGTGATGTCATCGGCGTTGCCTTCTAGCTGAAATCACTTGGACACCCGTACAAGTTTGTCGCGTACTTTTCTGGGTCCCATGTCAAGTGCAGCAGCGTAGCAGTATATACAAGCCGCAGAGAAAACGTTGCGAGAGAAATGTTCCCGTGGGCACGGCAACAGATCGGCGGTCCGTGTGCAAAGGACGCACGCACACTACTAAGCGGATGCGAGACTATTCCTATAGCAAACATCACAATAGAACGATGTACGTCAGGTCCAGAAGCAGCGCGAAGTAGCTGAGCCCTGTATCTTGTTGCGTTCATGTCAAGTCGTGGGGCACAGCTTCCTGGTCTACGCACTAGCTATAGGCATTTGTAAGTCTTCAACATTCATCAGCAAACAGAACGGACCACGGTTTTTCATGCGGCACCAAGCCACTCGAATAAGACCTCGCCAAGCTTTCTGCAGAGCGGACCAACACCTGCTCCTATTTTGAAGAGCTTCTCCTAGTTGCTACCGCCATCCACAATTGGGAAGGAAAAAGCTCCAGCAAGAGGCTGGCGTACATCAATAGCCGTCTTCTACTCACAGACCTGCGGGGAACTGAGGAGTTGAGCCATGCACCGAGACCCTCTCACACACACACAACAGGTGGTGCAGGGGGTACCAGGACGCCCTCAAAGGTAAGCGCAAAAGAGAGAAGAACGTGCTGGAAGGCGAATAAGTCGGGCTGACTCGGCTAGACCTTACATGAATGTTAAAAAGAAGACGAACCAAAAATCGAGTGCCTCACCTTCGGATAGTCCACGGCCAGGCGGAAACACGCCACGATCCCGGCGCCCATCGTGACGGTTACCTCGCGGCTCGGCGGGCGGTACCCCGTCAGATACCTGCGCCGCACCTGCCGCACGTGCTCTTCTCTCACCGCTGCGCACGTCGCCCGGCTCAGGGCCTCGATTACGAGCTTCCCCAGGTTCTGCGGGGCGGGAAGCGCGTCCGCGGCGCGCCTCATCTCCTCCAGCTCGGACGGAGAAATCCCTGCAAAACTCGCCGCCCCCCCGCCCCCCTGGCCGTGGCAGAGCTGCGCGGAGCTAAGCTTCCCGTCCGCCGCGGACACGGTCACTTCCATGGTCAGCCCCGAGCCGAGGCTCACCATGAGCTCCATCCCCTCCACCCTGCCGCCGGCGCCGGTGCCGAAGAGCAACCGGTGGGACAGCCGAACACCTCCCAGGTTTTCCACCTTAGCGACCGTGGCCGCGTACCAGTCCCGGATGCCTGCGTTCCTCCGCACGAGGGCGTCCTCCTCCCGCTCGCAGGCCTCCAGCCGGGCTCCCGGCATCCCCGCAACCCCGACGAGGTTCTCCATCTCCCTGGAGGCTTCCGCCCTCCACCCGGTCGACCCTGCCGCCGCCCCTCCTGCTCCTGTGGCCGCCGTTTCCGCCGCTGCCAGCGCCACCGCGTGCTGCTCCCTCTCCAGGAGGTCTACCTCTCGCTGCTGCAGCAAGAGCTCCGCCCGCACGGCGGCTGCTCTCTCCGCCAGCGCCGTTCTCTTCGCCTCGACGGCACCCAAGGCCTGGCTGTCCTCCCTCAACAACGTCTGCTCGTTGCGGAGATCCGCCTCTCGCGCCTTGTCGTCGGCGCGATCATCCCCGGCGTAGACCTTGTCCATGATCGACAGCCTGGCGCCGCCGGAAGAACGGAGACCGGGGTCCGCCTCGACCTGCAACGTCAAGCCCTTTATCCGTTCCTGCAGGTGTGTGGCCTGCTCCTCGACTCTTTCGGCGGAGGACCTGAGAGGTTGCTGCTCGGAGAGAGCGCGGTCCGCGATCTCGTCTACCCGCCGCCGCTCCGCCTCGAGGTCATCGTCGGCCGCCTGGTCCGGGAAGTCCTCTGCGGGGGGTTGAAGGAGCAGCGAATACAGCGAAGTCAAGGTCAAATAAGTCGGGGGGGGGGGGGGTGTACTCATAGTCGTGCATGCCGTAGTCGTTAGACCATTGACCTCGCATCCCTACAAAGCCGGGACGGAGCACGCCGGGTTCTCACCGGACCAGGCTCTCACATCACCAAGCGCGAAGCGCCGTGAGGTATTCGGCGAGTCGCATGAAGGGTGCACTGCATCCTGCTAAGGGTGTTCGGCATCTTGTGCTTACTTCCTTGCTTACGGATGACAGCTGCGTATGACTTAGTTTATTTTCTGGTGCGTTCACTTCCAGAGACAGTTGTAAGCACTGTGTAACTGCCTCGAGGGTGCTTGACCAATTTAACACAACGTGGGATTATCCCCTTTGCGCGGAGTGAGGGTTCTCGACCCCGCACAACATAATCTACTCGGGCACCATTCATGGTTACTGCAAAAAAAAAAAAAAGGCAAAAAAAAAAGCGGTAACCTGGTTGCCGAGCTCACGAAGTGATCGGCTTGTTTTACAACATCGCTGCCAAGCGACGAAAACCCAACCCCGATGGCAAACACCAGGGGGGGCGGCCTGTTTTACAACGTGTTGCCAAGCGACGAAAACCCAACCCGGGGGGGGAAAATAAGTCGGGGGGGGGTACAGTAGTAGTGCTCCGTGTTGCCGCCGGCTGCGGTGGAATCAGGGGCTACAAGAGGGTCGGATCACCACCTTGCTGCAAAAAGAAGAAGGAAACGTATGCATACAACCGATCGGTTGGTGTATGTACAGGTTCGTCCGTGGGTGTGTTCGCTTCGCATTACCAGACGAAATGAAAACACCACGTTTAGATTTTGGATTAACTTAGAGGGGGTACAGTAGCTCGCACGCAGTGTTGCAAACACACACACACAGGAGGCATCTGCTTGTTGCATACGTAGCTCACCATCGCCCGGCTCGATGAACGGATCCCTGCGCCCAAGGTTTTCCAGCACAGACACGCTGAACGTAGGCGGGTGGAACGTCTCCGCGGACTTGAGCAAGCGCGCCTCAGCGCGACTTACACTCTCCATGGCATCAGCGCTGGCGCGCGACTGCATGTGAAGCGCACCGGGTGACTGGGCGTTGAGCACCTGTGGAACCCTGGAGATTCATTTCACCAAGGGGTGTGATAGCATGAGAGACGTTGTTGTTATGGTTGTTGTCTTCACATAAAAAACCGTTCCGTTCTCTCTACCCAAGTACCTTGTGTCCGTGTATATGGACCAGTCTATGAAGACCTGATTGGGAGAAAAAGAGGCCGTGGTTCAGCTGGGTGTGTCACTTCTCACTGGAGTGTCTACACAGCAGGATGTGATCGCGGCCATGGGATCTGCAATAACTGTGTGAGGACAAAGGTAGAGATTCCACGTGAGCTCAATTTCGAGGAAAGGGCTAAGACTATGTACAATGACAAGTTTTGAAGTGGCGTTGCGTCCAGACCAACCGCAATGCCGCAATAGAGCAGAGAGACGGCTGGTCATTTGCTTCAAAGGTGGGGAAATATCATGTATCGTGCCAAAATGAGCACACAGGGCCTCACCTCTCGAGCAGCTCCCGCAAGCTGGTCGGCACAGGTGGTCGTGACGCGGAGTCCACGGTAGTCGACATGATCAGGCTGGTCTCTGTTGTGTGTTGTAGAAGGTTGCCGGCCCGTTCAACCTCTGGCGAAAATCCCAACGGCAGGAACAGAAAACGAGCTCTTTCTGTCTCCCGAAAAACTTCCGTCGTGCACAATGACACAGCCTCAGCAGCAGCAGCAGCAGCAGCAGTGCTGAAGTATCAGGGAACTGACCCTATCGTTGCACAGCAGCACTATCGGCGCTACGTATGGGACGGCGGGCTGGCGTCTCACTGCTGCTGTGTGTTGCGTCTTCTTGAAACGGGGCTCCGCAAGATCATTCTCAGCCACAGTGTCGCGAAAAATCTCGCCGCATTTTTGGTTGGTGAGACGTGAGACAAAGGACGATCGCTCGTTGCTCAATCATCTCCGCCGCTGCTCAGCGAAGTCCTGCCACAGACAGCAGTGGCTTCCTCCCCTCTGTCGTGAAAGCATAGAGGCTATCGCCAATAGAGAGAGGGTAGTCGAGAGAGAAGGGATTGCCATCCGGCTCCACGAGGGCAACCACACCCAACAGCAGGTTTAGGCACACCAGTCAGCGTTCGTTCGGCCACTCTTGCCGCTCCAGCACTCAACAGCAGCAGCACTTGGACGGTGTCATCGACGACAGTCGACAGAGATGGCACGATCTCGCGGGAAGGGAGGTAAATCTCTCACGAAGGGAGGAAAGGCTTCGGCCGAAGAGAGTACCGCCGCCACTGCCGCTCCCTCGATCCTCTCACCAGAGTTGATGGCCGAGCTCGGCGATGACAGCGCTGGCGGAGCCATGGTAACCCAGAGCGCCAGCAACAAAGGAAAGAACAAAAAGAGAGGGCGCGTCGTCAGCAGCGAAACACGGGAGCTTGCGGCTACCATCAGCAAGAGCAAGGCCAAGAAGCTCAAGCAACTGGAGGACAAGAAGCTCAAGGACGGGCGGAGGGCGGAGCTGTACCTCAAGCTCGAAAAGAACCGCATGTCGCAGAACCAGCTGTCCCTCCTGCAGTCCTCCAAGACGATCAGCATGAACCAGGACACCCTGAGATCGAGGCTGAAGCAGGCGGTGCAGAAGGCGGTGGCCGGCGTGGCCCTCAGCGATGCCGCCATCAACGAGCTCGAGAGCCACCCCGGACCTGTCGCCGATATCGAAGACGCGCTGGCGTTGCCGGTGGGAGGCGCCCTGGCAGCCGCGAGGAAAAGCAGCGGCCGTACAGCCACGAGAGCACCAGAAGGAGGAGGAGGAAGAGGAGGAGGCAGCAAGCCGGTGGTGGCGGTGAATAATAAGGGAGGAGGCAGCAAGTCGGTGACTGCCGCTAAGGCAGACGATAGCAAGCGCATGGGGAGCGCCAAGGCCGGAGCCGGTCTCGCGAGGGACGGGGCAGCAGGGGCGACGGCGAATGGTGTGAAGGAGAAGGCCGAGGCCGTCGTGGTGGCAAGCAAGAAGCGGAGGCACGCGGAAGAGCCTGCTGCTGTTGCTCCCAAGCCTACTAAGAAACGGACACAGGTCGTGGCTGCGGCAACGCCGAAAAGCAGCGACAGCAGCAGCGACAGCAGCAGCGACAGTGACGACGGCAGCGACGAAAGGGAGAACGACCTCAAACCAAACGTTCCAGCAGAGAGGCTCAAAGCAGCGGCAGCAGCAGAAGCCACAAACACCGCCGCTGGCGACAAGGGCGCCGCCGCCGCCACCGCCGATACCAAAACCGAAGGCAAAACTTCAACCACCAGCGGCAGTAGCTGGGCAGCGAAGATGATGTCCTCCATGGCGAGACTTTCCACCAGCGGCAGCACCCCAAAGTGGGGCGCTTTATCTTCTGGCACAGCTAAAGGAAGCAGTGGTAAGACACCTGGTGAGGCTCTGAACGCAGACGGTGACGGTGACGGTGACGGTGACGGTGACGCAGGCGGTACTGGTGCCGTTGCCGAGAACGACGACATCAATGAAGGTGATGCTGAGGATGAAGCGAACGAAGATAAGCCGACGACGGCTCCCACGGCGGTCGTAGCCTCCTACCCCCCGCCGCCGAGCTGGCTGGAAGGCAACACTCCCGCGTACCACGCCGTCGAGAAGCCGCTCCCGTCGGCGTCGGGCGAGAGCGGCTACGGCCACCCGTCGACCGGCGGCGGAGCCAGCTTGCCGCCGCGTCCCAAGAGGTGGGTGCCTGTAAAGCGCCCGGTCGCCCTGCAGGCCGCTCGCCAGCAACTGCCCGTGTGCGGGATGGAGCAGGAGATCATGGAGGCCGTCCACGAGAACGACACGATCATCCTATGCGGGGAGACCGGGTCGGGGAAGTCCACCCAGGTGCCCCAGTTCCTTTACGAGGCCGGCTACGCCGCGCACGGCCTGATCGGGGTGACGCAGCCGAGACGGGTCGCGGCGGTGGGCACGGCGGAGAGGGTCGCCGTCGAGCTCGGCACCAAGTGCGGGAAGGGGGGAACGGTGGCGTACCAGATCCGTTACGATGCGTCCGGGGTCGGGGAGAAGACGAGGGTCAAGTTCATGACGGACGGTGTCTTGCTGCAGGAGATCACCTCTGACCTGCTGCTGCGCAAGTACAGCGTGGTGCTGCTGGACGAGGCGCACGAGAGGAACCTTAACACGGACGTGCTGCTGGGGATGCTTTCGAGATCGATCCCGCTGAGGTGAGAGAGAGAGAGAGAGAGAGAGAGAGAGAGAGAGAGAGAGAGAGAGAGCACATGCCAGGCTTGTGTGGTGCCGGGGGCAATGATGGACGTTCGGATCGATCGCGGTGGTTGGGTCGAAGCCGGAAGAGTCGTTGCGTCACGAAGGGCCTTGTGGCTCGCCGGGTAACCGTTTCGCCCCATCTGCTGCTTCGAGTCGCCTGTGTTACCTAGTACCGAGTTCCAAGAGTTTTCGAGCTCTGCAAGTCCGCGTTACCGCTGCGCCACGCGTTGGTCTCATTCATCATTATTTTGGGCATGATGTCTCCCAGTAGCGTCGTTTTCAATCTATACCGAATGCACTCCGTCCCCTGCCATTGCGCAGCCAGCCGTGATTTTCCGCTCGCAATCACACGGTTTCGTTGGGCCTTGTTTTTTGCTTTTGTTTGCTCCGCAGAAAGCAAGTGGCAGATGAAGAGCAGCGTGCGTGGAACATGCTCGGCGAGGATAGCAAGAAAGACGCGAAGGTGAAGAGAGAAAACAATGAAGCTCCAAGCAAGTGGCCAATCGGATACTAACCTTGTTGTTGTTGTCTTCGCACCAGACCGGCTGGGCATTCATCCTACTGAAGAGTGGGTTTCGCCGGTGAAGGGTGATGAGGAGTTCCGGTACCACACCCCCTGGACCGACTTTCGAAGCTTCGTTACTCCACGGCAAAGAGGATGCATAGATGAGTCAGTACGGTTTGGGAAGGCTCTCGACGAGACGCCTGCAACGGTACCGTTTTCGGCACCGCCACTCTTTCTGCTGTGGAGAAATTGAGCTTTGAAAATCGGTCCTGGGGGTGTGGTATCTTGTGTCATGTCCCCTACGGTACGCCTGTGCCCGTTGAGAGGTTTGTTTTGCGGTGGTGCTTGGTGTTGTGGTACCCCCGTACGCCAGGATAGCAGCGTAGGCTAGTAGCAGACACAGAATTCCGCCAATGCCCTCAGCCGGCCCCCTTTCCCTACCGCGCCAAGTAACCAAACCCTGAAGGCGGATATTGTTGGTGACGTTTCGCTCCGCTACCACATTGGACGTGTCCCTTTCCCGGCAATCCCCACAAGTCATTCATGTATGTATCCTGCACGTGGGGCCGTTTTTTTTGTGTTCGGTCAGCTTCCGCTGCGGCCTCTGAAGCTGGTGATAATGTCTGCCACGCTGAGGGTGACCGACTTCACGGAGAACAAGGCGCTGTTTCCGGTGCCTCCTCCGGTCATCAGCGCGACAAGTCGGCAGCACCCGGTCACCGTGCACTTCAGCAAGAGGACGGAGCTCTACGACTACTCCGGCGAGACCTTCAAGAAGGTAAAGGCCCGCGCTTCTTTTGTCCTTGTTTTGCGGTCGTTACCGTCGTCGTCGTTATCGCTGCCGTCGTTGTCGTCGCCGTTGACGCTCGTATTTGCTGAATCGTTCCGGTTTTTCCTGCTTGTTGCGGATGCTGTGCACGTCTCTTTTGGTCTCCCCCTTCTTAACGGCAAACAAAATCCAGGTGTGCAAGATCCATCAGCGTCTGCCGGAAGGCGGCATCCTGGTCTTCATGACGGGGAAGCGAGAGATCCTGCACATGTGCGACAAGCTCCGACGAGAGTTTCCGCCGCCGAGGCCGGCCGCCGCCGGTAAACGTGGCCGCAAGAAGAGCGGCGGTAGCAGCAGCAGCAGCAGCAGCAGCGCGAAGCAAGGAGAGGCCGGCGGTGCGGCAAAGCAAGAGGGCGGAGCCAAAGAGGATAGAGCCGGAGGGGATGGTGAGGCGAAGGAGAGCGGGAGCGGAGAAACGACGCGGGATGACATGGATGCTGCTAAGCAGGCGAAGTCGCCTAAGGGCAAGAAGGGTAAGGAGAAGAACAACAACAAGAACAAGAACAAGGAGCCGTCCGAGGGCAACCCCGTGGTGCCGGAGCCACTGCAGGAGGAAGAGCGGGAGGGTAGTGTCGATGCTGCTAAGACAACCAAGTCGCCCGAGGGCAAGGGCAAGAAGACCAACCCGCCCAAACCGGTGGTGCCAGAGGCACTGCAGGAAGAAGAACAGGAGGATGGTGTCGATGCTGCTAAGACGACGAAGTCGCCCAAGGGCAAGAAGGGTAAGAAGAAGAAGAAGAAGTCGCCCAAGGCGGTGGCGCCGGAGACGCTGCAGGAAGAAGAGCAGGGGGGCGACGTCGATGCGAAGAAGGCGAAATCATCCAAGGGCAAGGGTACGGAGAGGAAGCCAGGGAAAAAGGAAGAGCCGGTGGTGCCGAACCCACTGCAGGAGGAGGAGCAGAGCGATGATGTCGATGCTAAGAAGGGAAATAATTCGACCAAGAGCAAGCCGGTGGTGCCGGAGCCACTACAGGAGGAGGAGGAGGAGGAGAAGGAGGAGGAGGAGCAGAAGGACGTCGTCGATGCTAAGAAAGCGAAATCGTCCAAGGGCAAGGGCAAGAAGACGAAGCCTTCCAAGCCGGTGGTGCCGGAGGCACTGCAGGAGGAAGAGCAGAGGGATGATGCCGACGCTGCTAAGAAAGCAAAATCGCCCAAGGGCAAGGATAACAAGAGGAAGCTCCCGCAGGAGGAGGAAGAGCCGGTGGTGCCGGAGGCACTGCAGGAGGAAGAGCAGAGGGATGACGCCGGCGCTGCTAAGAAGGCCACGCCGCCCAAGGGCAAGAACACGAGGTTGCCACGTCCGGAGGAGAAGCCGAGGGAGACGGACAGGGAGGCGCTGCTGTACCGGGAGGCCGACGACGACGAGGAGGACGCGGCTCGTCTCGGGGACATGGAAGAAGAAGGCGCCGACAACGACGACGGTGATGATTCCCTCGACGGAGAAGAAGGCGGGGGCCTGAGCAGCGGTAGCGAGGCAGAAGAAGAAGAAGGCGGAGCCGGGGGCAAGATGGGGTCGTTCGGGGACGACGACGACAACGACGAGGGCGGCAAGGGCGGCGCAAGGCAGGCGCTGCCTCCCGTGCACGTGGTGCCGCTGTACGCTATGCTCACCGCCGAGGAGCAGGCCACGGTGTTCCGGCCGCCCCCGGACGGCCACCGCCTGGTCGTCGTCGCCACCAACGTCGCCGAGACCAGCATCACCATCCCGGGCATCGCGTACGTGGTGGACTGCGGCAGGCAGAAGAGGCGGGTCGTGCAGCGCGGCAGCGGGATCAGCCAGTTCGAGGTCGGGTGGGTGTCGAAGGCGTCGGCGGACCAGAGGGCGGGGAGGGCGGGGAGGACGGGGCCCGGCCACTGTTACCGGTGAGAGGGTGGCTCTAGGCGTTTCCTCTCTGTTTTTTTTGTGTGTTGTTCTTGACTCTTTGGAAACTGATGTAGTCTGGAATGGAATGGAAGGCCTCCTTTTTTGAAGAGGGTCCGTATGAACCGGGGGGGGGGAGATGGAAATGGTTCAAAATATCAAACGTTTATCACTCCGCAGCATCATGCAAGCTCTCCGGCGAGTTGTCGCGCGTACGGTTTAGGCTCGCGTTGCCCACCTGCGTTTTCGCACCATCTCCAACCATTATTTTCGGCAGAAAATGCGTGCATCCTTGTTCGCCGTACGGTCCTCTCGGCCTTGTTACTCCATACACGCCTGGGCTTTCTCGGTGCTGATGCTCCCTGTCCCTACATAGTCCGCGCTAACCTTACTACGACGCGTGTTATCTCTGTTGCCGTGGATAACTGCTAGTTTGCTTGACGACCTGGTTAGACCATGGCATACCACATGCATTTTGGTGCAGCAATATATGCCTCTCATGGCCACGTGACAGACCCCAAGGCTGGCAGTAGCTTGATCACCGCCGTGCATGATCTCCCCTTCCCCGCCGGCCGTTACACATGTTGACGAATCCGTTACCCTCGAATCCCTTGGCTTTCCTCTGGGCGCACTACTCCTGTTCCGCTGCCCTCTTGTGGAGATGTTTTCAACACCACTCCCTTCCGCTGTGCACGCGGTTTCACCTCTCTCTCTCTCTCTCTCTCTCTCTCTCTCCTCTCTCTTGCCTCGCCTTTGCCGCAGGCTGTACAGCAGCGCCCTGTACACCCAAACCATGGAGGCGTTCGCCCCTCCGGAGTTGCTGACCCGACCGCTGGAAGACGTGATGCTGCAGATGAAGGCCATGGGGGTCGTCGACGTTTCTCGCTTCCCTTTCCCGACGCCCCCCGACGCCGTCGGCCTTCGCTCGGCGGCCGTCCTCTTAGCGAACCTCGGTGCCACCGCGGGGCGCGGGAGCGCCGCCGCCAGCGGCGACAGTAGTAGCGGCAGCGGCGAGATCACCCCGGTCGGCAAGGCCCTCGCGCTGCTGCCCGTGGGCGCGCGGTACGCCAAGATGCTGCTGCTGGCCGTGCAGGGGGGGCTGCTGGCGCACGCCGCCGCCCTCGTCGCGATGCTCACGGAGGGGGATCCGTTCGTCAGGCCGGACTCCGCCGTCGCGGTCAAGGGTGATGGCAGCGAGGAGGGGGAAGAGGGTGGGGGGCGGGGTGATCATGCCGAAGAGGTTCGACGGATAAGGGCGCAGTGGTTGCACCCCACCAGCGACGCGTTGGCGAGGTGCGTGCATCCGTCCAAGCCAACTAGATGGATTGTCACGTTGTTGGAGAAAACAAGCAGTCGTGCTTGTCACAGGTTTTATCGACAATTTTTTTTGTGTGTCTTGAGAAATGGAGTTTACTCCGCCCCTCAAAGTTCCGGCACTCTTCAGCAGAGCCTCCCCACTCCGCCACACACCCGTCTCAGGCCCACTCCCCCGTAGTTGTCATCACTCTTCACGTTTTTTTTCGCTGTTGTTAAACCGTCTGCCAAAGGTTGAAAGCAGCCGGGGCGTACGCCTTCGCGACTGCCGGTGGCACCGCCACCGGAGGCGGAGACTTCTGCCGCGAGAACTACCTCCACGGACCGACCATGGACCGCTCTCTGCAACTCCGGCGGCAGCTCTCGCGCCTCGTCGAGCTTCGCTTCGGGACGGAGCCGGGCTGGAAACGCTGCGACGTTGCCGGCGCGCTGCGTCCGCCGTCGTCGAAGCAGTCGGACGCCTTGCGACAGGTTAGTTGGGCGTCAAGGCGGGTGTGGCCCTCAGGGGTGGGGGGTGGGGGGGGGGGTGTACTCATGTAAACGCATGCCGTAATCCCTAGAACATTGACCTCGTGTCCCTACAAAACCGGGACGGTGCGATAGGGGGGGGGCGGGGGGGGGGGGGGAATTTTTCCAAAAACAAAGGGAAAGGTTTCCGGGTCCCCCCTGAAGGGGGGGCTCCTGGCAAAACGGGTGAACTGTAACCCTATAAAAGGCACACCGAAAATTTTGAACCCCCCCCTCACCGCAAAAACCCAATTTTTAAATCTGCCCAAAAATGATCCCTGAACTTTTGGGAACTTTTTTTACATTTACACAAAAAAACCCCCCAAGCCCCCTGTGGGGGTTCCTTTTTTTTTGGGTTACAGGGGGTTTCCCCTTCCCACAAGGGGTCCCTGGGGAAAAGGAAAAGACCCCGGGAACATCTCCCCCCTTAAAAATTAAAG